TCTGAATGTAATGGACGTTGGGGTTAAGCAATGATACTCGTGATCACTAGCCCATCCATTTTAGTCGTAGACGACGTCTGCTTTTAAAAACACGCATACAAACCCTCAGGTAAGCTGAACATCCCACTTGTGTTTAAATCTTCAGTAATCAATATCATCATCGACGGTAATAGACCAGTAGTTTCACGAACGCGGGACAGCTCACGCTGCCAATGGGGCAGGTGCCACTATGCCTTACAAGGCACTCCAAGCCCTTAAGATGGATTGGGTTGTCAGTTTATCGTTGAGCCAACACGCGAAAACGACATTCGGCAGATAAAATAGAACAGTCATGAAAATTTTTCAACCTGTTTTTATTTGGATCTGGGTTTCCTCTACTTGGACGCTTTAATTTGGGGTTCCAGTGAGGTACCCCCTAGTTAATTGTGCGTCTAGAGAACACTTTTACTGTTGATTGATGGATGGCGGTTGATAGCACGCTTGCTTCAGGTTCCTATACAACTTTATATAAGAGCAAATAGGATACACTGTACGAGTACCTAATCCAGTAAATTTATATGAGCTTTCAAAACTAATGGTCGTCCCCACCAACACGGTCCGTTGCCGCTGAGGAAAACGATTAGGGTGATGCTCTACCATCGAAATGTCATTCTTTTTGCGCAGCATGCCATAACAGCTCCTAGAGTAAGTCTGAACTAGTACGGTAGCTTAAGCTATCATGTCCGCAGGGTCGACAGAAAGGTGGTGCCTAAAGCGAAAACAGTTCGAAAGGAAAGTAAGGATAGCATCATCAATGCGATGATGGGTGGTAAGAGTTTAGCATAATGCTGAGTTGACTACCAGACCAGGTCTCCTAATACGTCGCGTTGCGTAAGAATGGGCACAGTGACAAGCAAGGTATTCTGTAGTACAGCGTACCTGTAAGCATCGAGCACTGATTAAAGGCAACAGTCATCAAATGGTAGTACCTACCAACGGCGTAATTCCTGTATCATTTAACCTATTAATCTCATGGCCATTCCTGTTTTATTGCCATAGCGTCATTGCAAATGATCCCTTCGTAATCCTGCATAATGAACCTGGCAGAAAAATTGAGGAAATGATTTGAATTCCAATAAAATACCCATATTTCACCTTAGTGGAGAAATCTGCCCGAAAACGCTGACTTACTCTAATGTTCTGATTGAGCAACGGTGTAGAACTGAGAATTCTGACAACGTAGCCCGTGAGGACACCACCTTGTTCCCACTCAGCTGGTGGGTGCCACGTGACATCGAGCACACTTCCGTTTTTCAACCACCGAACGTTCATTACACGAGGCGCCCCCAGAGGGGGGCTGTCATACGTCAAGATGGCGGACGAATAACTCCTTTTGCTGAAAGCTTGACCTGAGGTCGCATGCGAAATCATTCCCTCAATTTCAACCAAGTAACAGGTGAAAGGTCTGAGGGCATCTATAATGAATTTAACAATCGGCGTTGACCGAAAGAACGGTGTAACATGTATATCCTCTCTGCTCAGAAACTGGGGTGGGGTACGATCCAGGTTGGATGTTTTTGACAACTCACCGATACTGCAGTGTAACAGATAGTCATCATTACTAGTGAGTGCAAACGCCTCGGGTGGTGAACAACCGGACCCATAAGTTTCGAGGCGAATATCATCCTCACGAATCGAAATACCACGCTGAGAATCGCGTTTGAGGCAGTTTGAAAGAGATACCGCACGCACAGTGGTCTTGAAACCACTAAGGGGGAGTGCATCAAGTGGACCGCAAACTAACCACTCGGTGAAAATTTCCGAGGGAGATATGGACCGCATATTTATGGGATTGAATTGGATTTGCTGTAGCGCAGCGTTCAGTGAGGAAAGATTGTCACTGCTATAAACCATCGATTGTGTTGTGAAGACTGGTTTACGCAAAACAAAAGGCTTCCCGACACCCCATTTCCCCACTCCACGTACTAGAATGTAATATCCTGTTTCTGGACGTAGACCGCTTAGACGGACTTTCGAGTCGGTAGTCAACGGTACTATGACTTCCCAACCCGACGAGGTATTGTACTGAGCCACCTCTACCCGAAATCCGGAAATTGGGATTGGTGGAAAAATCTTCATCTCCGAGGTTGACTCAGTAGTCATGTTCGGCGAGAGAATATCTACCAATATCCACGTATCGCCCACATCAAGAACGGAGACCCTCTCCGGAGGTTTCGGTAGTGAAGTAGTGTCATAATTGTGTATTAAAGAGTTGGACGGTGATTGTTGGTCACTGTTTACAACGCGTATCATGGCCGACCAGGAAGTCGAACAAGGGGGATGACGAAAATCATCAACCTCTGCGCGACAAGTATAAGTTCCGGCGTCACTCAAACGCACTGAAATTATCTGAAGCGATCCTGAGGCAAACCTCAGGATCCGGTGATCATCGAGGGTCGAAACCGGCACGCCATTAACGAACCATTCAACACGAGGATCGGCGGGGAGGTCACCAACTTCGGCCGTGTGTGGGTTAGTTGAATCAAGAAAAACGTGTCGAAGAAGCGTGACGTGACAGGGGAGAGTGGCGGTCATACCCACCTGTAGTGTTTGGTTTTGTGGGCCTATTTCAATTACTGGAACGAGACTCATGGACTTAACTGAAAGATAAGCAGAGGACTTCATTACCCGGGAAACCTGAGATGCTTTGCATTCATATACACCCTCGTCTGCAAGAGACACTGAACTGATGGAAAGGGTACCGTTTGCAAACACCCTGAGATTTTCGCCACTGAAACTACGTTCACCAGGTTTGGGCACCCAAAATGTTCTTCCATTGTGTAACCACCGAACCAAGGGGGGAGGCATGCCAGAGACGGAGCAGTCAAGTAACACAGATGTGCCCTCAGGAACATAGCGGTCCTCAGGGGTTATTAGAAAGGATGGTGGTGATATGACGCTCAGGTGAGCAACAGCTTCGACACGAGTGGTGGAAGTTTTCGCCTCACAGATGTAATTTCCTTCGTATGAGAGTTGCACGTTTTCTATTCTCAAGCTTTGTCTATTCAATACAGAGGTTTTTGGAATCTCCGCACCTTCGCGGCGCCAGAATATCGTAGAATTGGGATCATCCGACGCTAAGCACTGAAATTCCACAGTATCGCCAACAAACACTTGCTTACTCCCTGGAGAAAACTTGAAACGTGTCTTCCGCTGCACAACCAGTGAAGCATCTCGACTTCTCCACCGGTCCACAGGGTTCTCTGCACCACAATGATATAGTCCGGCATCAACCTGTCCAACAGGATCTATGCGCAAAGCGCCCGTCTCTTGAATTACTATCCTTCTGCTTTCTAAGACTGGCTCATTGTTCTTCATCCAGTACACGGTTGGCTCAGGTAACCCAGCTGGTGGCACACACTCGAGAATTACTGGATCACCGACACTCGCAATCTTGCCCTCCGGCCCAGATGCGCCGTCTGAATTAAAAAAGGCAATTCTAACATTAGCAACATCCGACACCGTCCATCCATGAACGTTTGTAGCATTGCAGTAGTACTGACCTTCATCCTCCGAAGTAAAGGACAAGAAAATGAGCTCTCCGTGGTTGGTTATCCGGTTAGAAGTCCCCGGCTTGTCTCGCTGTGTTTGTACAAGCTCTCCGTCTTTGAACCACTTGATTTCCGGGAGTGGTACTCCAGTAGCTTGACATCTGAGGGAAAGTTGTTTCCGTCTGACTGGATAAGAATCTTCTGGTGAACGAATGAAGATGGGCTTTTGTGCACAAGAAAGTGGGACTCCGGAAAAGCACAAGAAGTGAAGCAGAACAATAATTCTAGGATGCATTGCATGAGGCGAATCTCAGGAATCGTTTGCCACGAACAAAATCATAGTACGTGCTTCAAATAAATCCAGGCATATGACAACGTGACGGAGCGAACACCAGCCATCTAGGCGGCTGCACCAATACCGAAACGGCCGCAGTTGCCCCGTGACGCTCAATTTGATTCATTAAAAGGAACTCAGTCCAGAACGGGAATGCTAGTTTGATAAGACATAAATCAGACCCAAACAATTGTGCACAGGCGGAAGACCAAAGTTCATTAATCTCGATTGCCATTTTTCCTTATAAAGTTGGATTCCTCTCGGATTCACGGATTGAGACACAGGATCGAGGCTATTGCCCATGTTTCCCAGGTCGATTTGGTTCCTGTCGGCCAGTGGCTGTCGTTCACCTGAAAGGCACAAGTGAAAAAGGGTGTAGCACCGCTCTTTATATGCTCAGCGCGGCAGTATGCTCGCCAGCGCGAGGATTCGCATAAAAAAATGTCTAATAGTGCTTTAAATTGGGCTCTAGAAGCAGCGTGAACAACCGTCGGAGGAAGGCCATTCCGCGCACGTATTACCCGAAATGAGAAAAATCTTGTTTAATGAATATGTGCGCTCTGAGCTTGAAAATCTTCTTACTATGTCACCGCCGTGTGATTGCAGGGTCAACGGTAAAAGCCCGTTTGCCAACCTTTGTTCAAACAGAGCATAAGTAAGAATTAGGTCCCCTCGGAGGCGACGGTACTCCAGGGGAAAGAGATTAAGCATCGCGAGACGCGTTTCGTAGTCCATGGATTTGAGGCCGGCAACCACTCTCGTAGCGGCCCGCTGGACACGCTCAATCAGGGTGACGTCTTTCATGCGTCCTGAGTAGACAACTTGGTTGGCGTATTCCAAGCGCATAGAGTATTTGGAAGTCCAAGCGAGTAATACGGGAGAATGTGCGTCAGAGCATCCGTAAAATGAGGAATGCCTTTTGACCAATTTCCCATGGTGCAGTGAGAAGGACAAGTTTCAGGAGGTCCAGATGCCCAAATCATTTTTGGCATCTATCCTCATGATGTTTTCTGGTCCTTTCTCACCATGCATAACAAAGGTATTCACTGAGTCTCCTCCAAACGACATATGGACTCACTTCGTCATTCAGAGTAAGGTACAATTTCAATGACCACTGCTTAGCAGCGTCTACATCCATTTGGGGGCACTGGCATTGGTACCCCAGGATTTCGAGTCGTCCGCAAAAAGTAGACATCGACTCGCAAGAACGTCTGGGAGGTCGTTGACGTAGATCAGAAACAGCACTGATCACAAGACGGAGCCTTGAGGAACTCCGGCGGAGACCGGGGCTGGAGAAGAGTAGGATGAGCCTATCCTCAGTCGGAATGATCTATCCGATAGGAACGTCTTAATCCAGCGAAGGATTTTCCCTTGAATCCCGTAAGACTCGAGTTTGTGGAGCAGCGGGACGTGTGGGACCCCATCAAATGCTTTTGAGAAGTCAAAAAATATGGCATCCGATATGAGTCCTTCGTCCTTGGCTTGGGTTAAGCTGTCCATAAACACGAGCATGTTTGTCACGCAAGAGCGGTGTGGGGAAGATCCGTGTTCAGCTTGGGATATCAGGTTGCTGGAAGTAAGGTGGTCTAGGATAGCTCGCTTCAGAATGCTTTCCATCACTGTAGTCCCTTCACTGGAGCATGTCTCAGTGTGATTTGCTCAAGAAAGATGCGCATTCCTGAGAAGTCTGCACGGCGGAAGTCTCGAAACCACTTTTGAGGTTCGGGATTTCTGGCCCAATAGCAGATGAAATCAAAGGTCAGCACACAGTGGTCGCTACGTCCCAGTGGAGCGTTAATTGTTACCTGATCAACGAAGTGTTTTTCGTTGGTGATGACCAAATCCAGCAAGGATGGCTGTTGGCCTGCGCGGTATCTGTTGGGTGCAACGACATGTTGGATCCAAGCGCTCCGTTGAACGACTTCAATCAGCGCCGCTCCAAAAAGCCCGCCTGATTCGGTGCGCTGGAGTTCCATCCAGGAGGCATTTGGGGCGTTGAAGTCACCTAACAGCAGGGGATGAGCGAAGTGGTATTTGGAGGAGAGTTGCTCAAGTGTTTGTATATGGAATTGGTTATCTTCAGGTGGACTCGAGGGGCTACGGTAGACCACAGCGAGAAGGAGAGTATCGGACCCGCGCAGTGGGATTTGGACCCACAGTGCATCGCAAAAGGGTGCGGGGTGGTGTCAGAGGGGACAACCGGGATTGGTAGGGCCGCATGCAAGTACAGAGAAACCCCACCTGCCCGCCCTCGTTTTGAGTCGGCTCGAAAAATAGAGTAGCCGTCTATCGAGATTTCTGCGTAAGAAACATCTGGTGTGAGCCAAGTCTCTGTGAGTGTGATTATGGGTGGTTGTTCAAGGTAAAGAGTGTTCAAGGATGAAGAGGGTATTATATTTGTATCTAGTTGCCAGGGTTTCCCTAGAGTCTCAAGCGAGCCAAAGCAGTGTGTGGTGTCTGTAATCCGTTTTCACATATATTTGCCATTTTTAATTAACTTAAACTACATGTTGTAACTGTCGTACATATTTTATCATGACGTTTGTTCTATTGTACCAATAATTACATCAAAAAGTGATGCAACACGCAAGTTTTCAGCGCGACTTTTTGACTTCTTGCTGAATCAGTGGACCCACGATCCGTTGAACTGTTTGCTGACTGCTGAAGCAGTTGGACTATATCTCCGTGTTTATGTTAGCTGTTGAACGTCACAATGACTTCCTATGAGATATTTTAGCTGTGAATAAACTTGGAATAAATTTGAATAATCTTGGAATATGCCACTCACACGTGAATCAAATGTGGACAATTTCTACAAGTGGATATTTCCCTCGGCCGGTTACTGAATTAGAATCAGTGTAGTGGACTATTGAATCTACCCATTCGTGAGTCGTTATCGACTGCTTATTCTTTCCTTATTGTGATTTTGTTGTTTTGCTCGTTTTTTGCTACAAATCTACCCATTCGTGAGTCGTTATCGACTGCTTATTCTTTCCTTATTGTGATTTTGTTGTTTTGCTCGTTTATTTGCTACAACACGCTAATGTGGTGTTAAGTCAGCTACATGTGAGGCTACATGCTGAAGGCTCCTTGATAGCGTCAAGCTGAATTTCTGTGGTGGAAAGCGGGCAGAAGACCAGGAGGTGCATGAACTGCGTAGATATGTCCTTCCTCATACTGTTTCCGAACGATCTCAACAGGCACTGCAAGTTCATCCCGGAGAATGAAGCTCGTAGACTTGGGGTTTTGTAGCGTCAGCGACTGCCAGGTGGTTGTATGACGGGAAAGAGAGCTAGAACTTGCTGGCTGGTTTAGGAATGTAAGTGGCTATGGACAGAACTTATCAGTGGTCGTAATGAAAGTGGAAATATAAATAGTGGTTGCAGCATCGAGCCACATCATCCTATAAACGATAACGCATAGCAAATGTGTTTCTCTGTTCGTTCCGGTTTAGTAATGAACATGTCTTCTTTGGACAATCCCCACCCCAATGACGCTGTTCCTTCTCCTAACACCCTGTGTAGAAGAGCGCTTGCCAACAGTGTGCTCCCGTTTCCAACCCCAAGTGACAGCTAACCCCATATTTATTCCCCTTGACCAGATGAACTGAAACCTTGTTTTACTGAACTATTTTTCTAACTCTTACGGATTTTGGTCGGACATTGTGATTTTTGCGGTTGCTCGCCGTCGATATCTGTTTGGTTGTGGCGATATCGATTTTGAGGCGAAGTGAACTGCGCTTTATCATCAGGCTGGTAATTCTACCGCCTTACTTTTGTAACCCTACATTATCTGCAGAGGAGAATCCGTTGAGGTTTGTTGCAATAGTGCCGTCATTCCAGAATTCGGATTTCTTGGTCGTTTTCCTAGATTGGCACGCGTGACTCAAAATCAGAAAGCAGATAGCTGTAACAGTACTCAACGGTTCCAGTACTCAACGGAGTACAGTTCTAGTAAACAAGGATCTACGGACGCAGTAATGAACGATCTACGAACTCAGAGAGGATGGAGAAAGCCCTGTCAATGGATCTCTCTACCGGAGGAATCGAGGCAAATCGGCCGTTCTGGCAATCCTTTGGCTACTGGTTCATCTCCTGGCTCTGACTCATCTACGCATAAAAAAGAAAGTCAGTTGCGTTATTGCGCTTATGCTGGCGCGTAATGAGGTGCGTCTAGCGGAGTTAGAGCTGGATTCGGACGATGATTCCGTCGTTGACGTGCAGGTTGACCCGCAGGATAAGGTAAAGGATTACCTAGCCGGGATGGTAAGTAGCACACCCATATGTGAGGCACCAGCGGTCCAACCGACTTCTTGCGTGGTTAAGGCAGGCCTACCTAGAGTGGACTTAGAGGCTTTCGATGGCAGCCCAATGTGCTATTGGAGATTTATTCAACAGTTCAAATACTACATAGAGGATAGGGTGCAAGATAGTGGACAGAGGATGCTATATTCGATTCATTACTGCAGAGGCCCTGCGAAGGAAGCCGTGGCTGAATGCGTAATGTTGCCTCCCGAGATTGCTTATGGTGGGGCGAGGGAAATAATTAAGGATCTTTTTGGGAGGGAACATATGGTGGCCAGAGCCAAACTGGACGATCTGTTTAAGAAATTGAAACCGTTGCATGACGACGCAGATTCATTATCTCGTTTGTCCATAAATCTTTAAAACTGTCACGTTGCTCTGAGTCAGATGAATCACGCTAGTGACGTGAATTCGGTCTCGGCCATAGAGCGTATTCTCCGCACGTTTTCGAAGGATGCTCGTCGAAACTGGGCAAAGTTGGCTGACTCTATGGGCAATGTTGGAAAGCAGATAGGTTTTTCTGACCTATGCAACTTCGTTTCTCAAGAGGCCCGCGTTGCTTTCTGTGGTATGCTTACCATAGGCTCAGAACACCATCGTCCTCAAACGCAGCATCATCGGGCAGGCAGCGAAAGGCGCCATAGTGTATTCGCCGTTCAGAAGGGAACCGATGACTCGTGCCCCTTTTGCAACAGAAGGCGTGGGCTGGCGCAATCTCGTGGGTTTACTGACCTGCCAACGCAAGCTAGATGGCGTGTGGCGAGAAGGAAGCGGTTGTTTTGTATGTCTAA